CTCCTTTTGGGGTTTAGGGTTTAGGGTTTAGGGTTTAGGGTTTAGGGTTTAGGGTTCCATGACATACGGCCTTATGGGGGACACCAAGAAGAAAAGGTAAGTGTTCAAAGGCAAAGGCTGAGCAAAGCCGCCGACAAATGTGCTGACTTGGGCTCTCGGCTGTTCTGGAGGCACGGTAAAAGCAGATGGGTAGTTGTCAAAATTATGGTCCCTTTTGGGGTACCCTAAATAAACAAGAGGTGCCGTATTATAATAAGGACCCGAAAAGGGACCATAATTTTGACAACCACCCATATATCTAAATTCTGAACCCTAAATGCTGCTGAAGCTTGTTGCTGTTGTGGCTGCCGCCGCCGCCGCCATCACCACCATATAGGGGCCTTAATAATTAGAACAGGGTTTGGGGTATAGTAAACTATATAATAAGGAACCCCCAAAACCCTATCCTGATGAGTAAGGCCCCTATATTACTTATACATGCGCCCCATACTCGCCACTGTAGCTCTTGGCTTCGGACACCTTACCCAATTCTATAGGACTGAGTGAAGAAGGAAGTCCAACCATAACAAAGGCCTACTTGGAGGATCATGGGACTTAGTAAGTATGGATATACAAGTACCTAAATTAGGGTTATAAGTAGTTATAAGTATAGTTATCCCAATAATGACCTTAGTTACTAAGTTCTATGATCCTTAAAGTAGACTCCAAACCCTAAATCGTATTGCAGGAAAGGCCCGATTTGTAGATGTACGCAGATCGCTTAAAGGATCATGGGACTTAGTAACTGTGGGCTTTAGGGTTTAGGGTTTAGGGTAATAGGGTAGCTATACTTATAACTAATTAGGACCCCCTTAAGGTACTTATATCCATACTTACTAAGTCCCATGCTCCCCCAAGCGGCCCTATGAACCAGAAGATCAGACCACCAATTAGTTTGGGTGTGGCAGTCGCTGGCATTTTCAGGGCTCTAGTAATGGCCCCGCGACATGCCGCGGTTGCGGAGAGGGACAGGGGTCTTGGTTTGAAAACTCCCGAGAACCGCAACCCTGAGGTGGAGGAAGAAGAGGACTACCTCATCGCAATACAGACACCGGAACACTCCCTAGTAGTCGGCAGCCTGGCAAGCCAGATGCGGTGGATCCTAAACTCTATGTCCATGAAGGGTTTAGGGTTTAGGGTTTAACCCGGGACCTCTAACAAGGGGAGGCTGCATAACAGATATCTTTCTCGAAGAGGTCTTACCTTTTCGAGGAGTGCCAGCCCGAAGAAGTTCTTGGCCACCAGCCTTCAAGAGTCCGCGAGAGTTTCGTCTCTCTCATACTACAGAGGCCTCAAGAATTACCTATACTATTTTTTTTTTTTTTTGGGGGGGGGTCCTTAATATAAGTATAGTATAAGGGGCCCCAAACCCTATGCTAATTATGCAGGCCCCTATATTACTCCACAATCCCACATCCTAAACCCTCAATCCTGACCCTGAGCCTTAAATCCGAAAGCTTACAATCCGGAAGCCCTGAATCCTGAACCCTAGATGCCAAGCCCTAAAGACATAAATCCTAAACCCCAAACCCTGAAGACATAAATCCTAAAACCCAAATCCTGGACCCCAAACCCTGAAGACATAAATCCTAAACCTTAAGGGTGGTGAAAGAAACACCTAAACAAACCCTAAACGCTATAAACCCTAAACCCTTCAAGGACTCAACCCAAGAGCCAAGGCAACCTCGGCTGCCATCCATTCGTGGAGCTGGCCGGGCTGTGCTATTTATTCTTGTAGCGATTCCTTTGAAGATTCCTTTCAGGGGGTCTCTAACGGCGGGTTCCTTCAAGGGATTCCTTCAAGGGCTCTCTAGGGCACCATATGCTGTTTGGATTGAGGGTGTTGGGTTGAGGGCTTAGGGCCTAAGCCCTAAGCCCGAAACCTGGTTTTGCGTTTTAGTCGGGCTACCGGTTTAGAGCCCTTCAGTCTATGCTTGGTCAGAGTGGTCTCTCGATGTTTTTGTGTTTTATTCGAAAGCTTGCAGTATTGCAGGAAGCAAACACGCGAAGGAATCACAGGGAAGGACTAGACTAGAGCTTCAAAGTTTCACTGTTCTGCAGCAACTGATTCCAGGACCCTCCTTGTACCCTCAAATAGGGGTATATGTTCCCAAGTAAGGGGTATCTAGGATCCAAACGAGAGGGTCTAGCTGCTGACTGCCCAAGATGTGCAGGAGTGGATGTGGTTTGGGAATTCGGACGGCTCCACAAACCATCCAGCAACTGGGCACTACTTGATCGAGCTCCATTTTCTCTATAACCCTACAGCAAATTGGATAAAGTGGAAGCCAGATTTAGAAGAAACAGTGCTGGGATTCCCTATACGTTACCCTTAGGGATTGAGGTTGTTGGGTTTCCAACTTTTGGGCTTCTACTACAAGGGTCCATGTACCCGAACTTTGGCCTTAATGTAGTCCCAAAGTATATATTATTTGGGTAACTGGACCCTTAGGGCCTTAGGGTAATTGAATTGAAAGCAGCCTGAGCTCCCTTGAGCTACTCTGATGGTCCATGTACTTAGAAATTATGTGTGTATGTATGTATGTATATATATATATATATATAACTTGGCTCCAGAATACCAATATAGGATTCCCTTTCAAGGTCTGTGCAGGCACATGGACCTTAGGGGTACACCCAACAGCCACCAACTATGAAGCCTCCAATTCCGGGTCTTCGTATGGAGGAATAGGGGTCATGCCCTAAACCCTAAACCCTAAACCCTAAACCCTAAACCGTTTGGGGTCTAGGGTTTATGGGATTAGCATTGGATGTAACAGGGTTTCGGGAGTTTTGTGTTTACCATGAGGCGTATGGCGCGCTTTGGGCTGCTAAACCCTAAGGCTCCTCGTACCTAGGGTTTAGGGTTTAGGGTTTAGGGTTTAGGGTTTAGGGACCTATATGGCATATACTTAAGCTGGAAAGTACATAATATAGGAACCCCAAGGTTACTACCCTAAACCAAAACACCCTAAACCCTAAACCGTACCCCTCTAAACCCTAAACCCGAAACCCTAAACCAAAATCTAGACTACACAGGTACATGGAGTCTCGGAAAAGGGGCCGGATTGAGCAGCGATCTGGGGAGATCTTGGGTTTAGGGTTTAGGGTTGCGCATCCCCGATTGTGTTTTATATCGGGATCGGAATGGTTGCTGCTAGTATTCTTTATAGCGTTCCTGGTTACAAGTGCACTCAGGGTTGTGCAGGGTTTAGGGTTTGGTGTAGAGGGTTTAGGTGTAGGGTTGAGGGGGTCTAGCTGTCCCTTCCAAAAGCTTAGACGTGAATGCGAACTGTGACAAGCAAGGTACCGGAGAAAGCAATTGCCAAGAATGCGGTGAAGCTGTGCACCAAAGCTATAGGTGATGCGCGGACCTTCATTTTTCACCAGCGGCACTGACGATTGCATCTCTGAGCTGTCGATAGAGTAACTGGCTAACCGTAGCTCCCGTCAGCATCCAAGCCATCCTGCGTAGACTTCGGTTTAGTGTAGGGGTTGAGCCGCAAACTCTACAGCAGTGTCTACATCCTGAGCATCCCAGACCAAGCCCTTAGCTCTAAGCTTGAGGGTTCCGGGTTTAGGTCTCATTGCAACTCGGGCCCACAAAAGCCACAAGCCCCACATCCCTACAGGTAGCCCAGCTTTTGTCAGCATTGACGGTTTAGGGTTTAGGGTTTAGGGTTTAGGGTTTAGGGCACGGTGGCCTCCAGACTTCCGGTGGAGGGATGATGCGAAGCCGCGAAAAGGACTGTGCAAATGGATGGGTTCACGAGGCGTTGGAAACTCAAGCCAAGAACATCCCCCAAGCCCTACACCAAAGAATTGGATCGCGTTGATATCCCAGTGTTTACTATAATATTAACTGTAGTATAAAATACCCCAGAACCTTATTCTAATTATTAAGGCCCCTACATTAACCCTGTAGGTTTTTAACCACAAAGATTGAGGCTTCGGAAGGAATACCTGAGCAATGAGCATAGCGGATGTATGCCTAGGTTACAAGTCCTCGCAGCCTACAGCCAACCTTCAGCAGAGGGCCCCAAATCGCAGAATTCAGGAATAGTCGTTGATGCATGTCCTGCAAAATCTAGACGAAATGCGGTATGTGATTAGCTGGTTTCGGACTGTAGGGTATGGTTAAGTGACAGGTACCCTGAACGCTAAACCCGAAGCGGAACCCCAGCCGCTCTATCATTCACAGACTTGAGTTTAATGTAGGGGCCTAAGAGTTACCAATACTATTTCGGGGGTTCCTTATTATAATGATAATTAGAGTTTAATGGGCCCCAAAACTATTGTAATTATTAAGGCTCCTACAGTACCCTAACCTAAACCCCAAGCCATAACTTACGTTCTAAGCTAGAGTTCTTCGACCCTCAGCCCAGCTAACGCTGAACCGTATCGGCCCGAGACCCTCAACGCTAGTCTACAGGGCTCCGAAACTTAAACTAGGTTGGTTTGAACAAGGTTTTGCTGTTGGCTTTGCTTTTGAATTTCCAACCTATACAAACCTATCAAGCCGTAGAAATGTCGATTTGTATATGGCACCCGAATCAGGGTCACCAATAGACTCCATAACTACCTTTTTCAACTTTAAGTATCGAAATCATTTATAGGGCCTTAGGGTTAGTTTGTTGTCTTCTCAAGGGTGGTACCCTAGACCCTGAACCAACATACAGGTGGGAAGTGTTCGGAATCGATTGGGGATTGCGGTGAGTGCTTACAGGGCTCCTTCGGAATATTGGTGAGTATTAACTCCGGGTGCTATGCTCTTCAGAAAAAAACTATTGGTCACATGTGTGTGTGTGTATATATATTTCACCATGTATATGTATGTACATATGTATATATATAGATATATATATACACATATGTATGTATTTTTCTTTATATGTACATGTGGAGACAGAGGGAGAGGTAGGTGTCGAAATCAGTGTACATGCATACATCCATCTCGTCAGGTTCGCTCCGGATGCCTCTCGGAGACGTCTTGGCAGATGCTCATGGATCTGCACGGCAAGCCAAGGCCCGGTAATGGTGGTAGTAGTAGTGGTAGTAGTAGTAGTAGTAGTAGTAGTAGTAGTGGTAGTGGTAGTGGTAGTGGTTCTGGTCCTGGTACTAGGCGCGATCTACTACGTTTGCCGCGCAACAGGCGCGGCAAATATGTCA